AAGACACTTTTTTCCATCATTGGGTGAAGTTCGAGGCGAAAATGAAGCACACATTTTATTCGCAATGGCACAAAATTGCTGACGCACACAGGAAGATAAAAGTGAGCGTGACGAAGTAAAGAAGAAATTTATGGAGTCTCGCTCCGTCAGTTTGAACAATGAGACCAGCTATGAAATCACACATCTTCTTTCGCGAAAATTTGTTACATGGATCTTGTTAGCAGCAATGAAAATCTCGCAAAAAAAAAAACCAGGCAGCTAAGGCAGTGACTCAAGATTTCGGTGAAAGCCGTATGTTGTAATATGCCATCTACAGGATGAAAGTACCCCTGACGCTACTGATGAGTGCGAAACGTGTGACACCAATTTTGTGTCAGTCGTATAAAAAGTCGCGGATTTACGAAAATGTGAACTCAGTTGCAAAAAATACCGGCATGACGATTTATTGGCACATCAGTCTTCTGATTCCCAATAAAGTTAAATGAGTTTGAAAAACTATACTTTTGAATAAAAAAATCTCAGGACTCACTGGAAAATCCAACCTTCTATCTTTTGATGGGTTGCGAAAGTTTTCGATGATTTTTACAAAGCAAAGATTGCTTTGAATAATTTATAATCGATCTTTAAGTACTTGATGGGTCCAAAGACTGCGTTTGAAAAACTCACATTTAAAGGAAAGAACTTCAACCTGATAAATGACTTACACGCTGACTTGTTACTCTCCACACGTACAAGGGAGTGTTCAGAAATTAAAGTGGCCAATCAATGCAAGCTGCATACAACTGGATGCAGCTAAACACGCTGAGTCTAAATCTGTCTTTGCTATCTGCTGAACATGTGGATGAATTTAGAAGCCATTAAAGCCATTATTTTGCTAAGAAAGCGTGCGTGTAAAGGGCAAATTTGGTCGCGCAGAGCCACGTTGGCTCAACGCTAAAAAAACATTTGCTAGCTTACTCCAAATGCCTCATACTGAACGGTGAGCTAAAAAAGCATTCTAAGCTTGATTTCGCAAATCTTATATACGTTTTCGCAGTAAAACTGCTCATAATTTCGTCTACAAAGGCGTTCAGTAGACATGGAAGATAGATTTGAAGTCAGCGTTCTATGCTGCATCAAATGGTATACAGCTTGTTCGGATTGGTTACTTCGACTTCTGACCATTCTCTTGTAAGTTCCAAGGTCATGAAAGACACTGACATTATTACAGTGTCGCGCGCACTTTTAACCCTAAATCTTAGCAGAAGAATTGTAAGTGCATCCAGAAAAAAATCGTCCAAATTGCTTTTCATAAAAAAAATATCCATATGATAGATGCAGACTATAAATTCTCTCGCTAGCTGATTCACTTTGTGCTTGGTGATTTTTGGCACCTCTAATAGAATTCGTAAGGTTGAACCATATCAAAAATCCCTGCATGCATCCGTTATTGCCCGCAAAAGCGATTATGTGACAGGGAAAAAGGTGCAAAACGGGCAGAAAAAACGTAGCAAGTTATGAATAAAATCGCGCGTCTTGAGGTATTCTACTGGAGAGCCTGATAGACAAAGAACAGTGAATGACAGCGAATTCAAAACATAAAACATCGGTGTATGCTACGAGCTGATTCCATATCCGTGCTCACTATCAGTAAAAGGGGGATTGGTAAAGATATGAGATTTGAACATTTTTGAACAGAAGGCGCCGGTCGATGTAGGCCAACTTGTATCATCATACTTTAACAGTAAGATTTAAAGCTTCCTCTACGCTAAGAGGCGGCATTCATCGAAAAAAAAAACAATAATCGCGCAAAGAGACGCTTATGACTGCCCACACTCACTCGTTTTGCGACTTGCAAATATAGACTTTGTACACACCACTCACGATTAAGCACCTTCTCTTGTCAAAAACGTAAAATGTGTAAAAAAGAACCTGAGTTTGACTCTAAGGTGCTTGGGTGAATTATGCGATAATTCATACCCTGCAGTCATGATACCCTCCCAACATGACTCATACAATGTAATGATAGGTCGAGAGTACTGTGAAGTAGATTTGCACATGAAACGTTGATCTTAATTCCTTAATCCTGATTTGCAAAGTGTTTTTAACGAAGGTTATGACATTTTACCACCCCGGAATTGAATTTCCGAGATTTGCAATATTCTACTCTTATATTATTCTACTCTTATATAACTAAATAAGAGTAGATTATTGCAATAACGGTTCCTGTCATGAAGAGACAGCCACTCATCACTACACCAGACTTGAACGCATCGTTCAAAAGTTGGTCGAGATTCGAGAAGAAAAATCATCATATTGGGAGCGTTCTACAGATAACTTACAGATTTGTGACTAGCGTCCGTTCCGTATATTTCTCTTATGGCCACTTGGAACAAGTATCCCTTCCCTGCAGACCACTATTTGAAACGAATTAACTGCGTACGGCTCTAGAATTTCACACAAAAACAGTAAGGTCGAACTTTCATAGGGAATTTTATTCTTGAATATGTTTTCTAAATGTTGATATACTCGATAGACTGTTCAATCATTAAGTTATCCATCTCAGGAGCCCATTCTTACAGTTACTTTCCAAGTTGCGACCTAACCAGATTAAGGTTTTAGGTAGCCAACGAGCCAGAAAGTCATCTGGAACTTTCAGACAAGCGGCATTCGCCTTGCCATGGGTTTATATGATACTAGCTGGCTTACCCGGCTCCGCCGTATGTTCCGAATAGAAAATTCCATTTCTTAACCGATAAAATCAATATCGATCGATGACGAAAAGTAGCCTATGACACCCGCCGGGGCCCGAAGTGTATGTGTGCCAAGTTTGGTCCCGATCGGTTCAGAAATGGAATTTTCTATTCGGAACATACGTACAGACAGACAGACATACATACAGACAGACATACAGACAGGCAGACAAACAGACATGCTTTATATATAAGATTGCTACACTGCAGCCTTGCGAATGCTTTGAACCGAGTGTGAAATAACAATAAAGTGAACATTGTGCATTCGGACGAATAGGAAACTCGAAAACATCCCTTGCTCACACCAATGCATGCTGAAAGCATTAAATGCAACCTAAGCGAAGCGCACGGCAAGGCAGGTGCATTTCATGGACTTGTTCTAAGGGATATATTTTAGCTGTTAAGTGATAAGATAGAGTGTCAAAACTGAATTCCTCTGTCAAATAAGAGTTTAGCTCAACTGCTATTCTCAAGGATCACGCAAGGTTGTAGATTCCATACGTTAGATTGTATAAACTTGCGAAGTCCGAAAGGTACATACCAGCATGGGTCATAAAACAGATACTGCTGAATATGGATGTACAGTGGCTCTGTCTAGCACAACGAATGATTTGGGTTAAATGGCTGAAATGAAACGCAGGTAGGCACCGTACTGGTTAACAGAGAATTATCAAGTCCTCGTACACTTCGCAGTACGAGGACTTGATAATTTCATTACAAATGGCAACTGTTGAATTATGTGTTCCACACTGAAGATCCAGCGCCAAACTTGAGGGCCATGGAGGCGTTCGCTTTTCGCTTTGGGATTTTAACAATCTCAACACAGAATCAATGTGAGCATGGCGCGATGCAGAAAATCTAATGCTGTTAATTAAAACAACATTCTCCCAGCAGATAGTAGCAAAATTTTGAGATGAGGATGGACCCTCAGCTGTCAGAAATGTTGAAATGGCAATAAAGAGAACAGTCTTGAAAGTTTTCTATTTGATGTAGAGAATAAGATATCGTATGAAAAACAAATTTTTACAAAATCAAGGCTGTAAATGCAAAGACGTTTCTTACAAGGAAAAGGACCCGAAATCACCATGGCTTCCTGAGATGTATGTGGAAATCGCCTTGGAAAGCTACCTAGGCGGTTTCCTGAAGGAGTTTGTAAATGATTTTCGAACAAAGTTGCACTGTTGCAGAGGGTCAAAATGGCCAATGCAAGTTTTGTTCACCAAATTCGATAATTAGTCTAAACACAATGATGAATCATCACTGAAATTGCTCCGCAGCATAAAACAGACTTGGAAGACGCTGATGATTTTGACTTCTAGTATCATATACATTTCAACAGAAAGAATGTCCATAACTTCCTATAGAGATCGTTTCGAAAATACAGATTCGAAATCAGTATTCCGAAACGAGTATTCTCGTATACATCTAATGTAAATAGTTCGCATTGATCTCGGATCCTTCCCTTTTCAGAGAAAGAAAGAGAAGATGAGGCTACAAAAGATTTGAAGATAAGATGGAAAGAAACTTGACACAGATGTGAATAAGCGTTAATCTGGCACAAACTACCTTCGCGACTTCACATCGATTTCAAATAAATGCTTCAAAAAATAGTCAAAATAGTGGAGAGTTGATTTGGAAGCATATTTGGAATTTTCATCGAAAAGTAATGAATGTGGTGTTTAGAAAAGAATGACTCAGATGCTGAGAATAGTCAGAAAAGTCTGATAGAGAGGTTTTCAGAAAGAAGGGTCCCGTTCCCAATAAACTAATAGGAAGACATATATCCCTGAGAATTCAGAAACAGTTGATAACACACGCAGAATATGATCAATGTGGCAAAAACAAGGAACAATCGTATTACTCTTGACGACTGAATTATTATATAGCTTAGAGAATTAAGAAACCCGAAAAGGTCCATACTTCAAACAAACCTGTAGGAGGACCTGCGCTTTAACGCTTCTTCTAGCAAAACGGTGAAAAAGAGTGCTTGCCGCGCACGTTGAAACTAACACCGCGAAAAAGCTTGATCAAACTGCTGAAGATTTTTCGCTAGATTTCTGATAGGAAGAGCTTGAAAAGACTATGAAGAAAAATGCGACATGAGATTTTCTACTCAAAGGATAAGCAAAAAGACAGGATAAATTGAATACAAGAAAGCTTTTCCAACAAATTCGAGTTATGATGGAATAAAGGAAAAGAGAAAGATGAAGAGGGCAGGGCCATCCTAGCTGATATCAACAATCAATTCTTAAGCAGAAATGAACTCACCACAGCAGGATAGCTGAGCTCCCTAACAAGGTAAGCTATCATTGGATCCACATGCCTGCGCAAAATTTCATGCCTGCTCGCATAGTCAACGAGCAGTGGCAAAGGGTCCAAAACCATCGACACATGTCGCTCAATCATTGGACGTTCTGAAAATAGTCACAATATAACATACAACATCACTAGCGTGAGACTGATGGTAGCTGTAGTTCACAGAAAATTATAACAAACATGGATTGTGGTTGTCAGCAATTCACCAAGCGGCAAGTTTTGGTTGCTGAGAATTGCCTGTATTATTCAAACTTTCCAAATTGTCCCAAGTGGCTTGCACACATTGTGTCAAGACAAGTTCGAACATGCGAACTCCTGTTTCGAAGTAGGAAATAATCCTAGATTACATGGGTCACTAGTACAAACTTGTCAACCACATGACAAGTTTGTTTTCACACTGTGTGGTTTCGAGCCTCTTACAAGGAAAAGAACCTTATTTGAGGTAGGCTTTCTAGAAGAGGTGCTCTTCTGGGAGTACATCGAACGCTGATTACAAATCTGACTTCCTTATCTGCGGAGCGAGGAGTAATGAGAGCTTTAGTAGCACAAATTTGTGTATAGAAGTCTTTCTTAAGCTCAAATGAAAAGACTGCTGTACTTCTAAATGAAGAGAAAATCTCCTGCTTGCTACCCCGGGCTCGCCAGTAATCCAATTTGCGAGGTAGAAAGACCGTCACCATTGATTTAATTGTACAGGCGTTCAGTTTCTAGACTCATCACCTGCTGCTCAGCAGACAAAAAAAGAAATTTTTGAAACTATCATTCAAAGCCCTTCAAGGCTGCACTCCAATCGGAAAGGCCACTCGACTAAGAATCCTTCTCCTGTTAGTCTTAGAATAGTTGGTATTCTCTACGACAAGGCGACTCAGGAATGTGTTGCACAAGTTCTAACTTGTTCAACATGGTACGCACACTATTCTAGAGTCTCTAAGTTTAGACATCGTTTTTTCCACAGTTGCTGCCACCTTTGCGCTGGCTGCGGCACACGTATCTGACATATCAGCAACATGAAGCAGCATGTTTGCAACATGCAACAACACGTTTGCAAAATTTTCTGCCTCCTGGCCTCAATGTCAACATGTTGCTGCATGTTGCCAACAGAGTGACGCGTGTCGCAGGACAGAGACGCAGACCAAGGCAACTTTGGAAGGGACGATATGGTTATTTGTAGCGGATAATATGCGCATGTGCTTACACCCCAGGATTGTGAGGAACATACTTTGTCTTACTTCCTTTTAAAAAAGGCGGATAACAAGTGTACTTATGAATTCAGATAAATGTCGATCTCTACGTACGTCCCAACAATATTTGCGCCTCAAATGCAGCGTCCAGGCAAATCTGGACATACGGGGTCCTGAAAATGGAATGTGGAAAGTAATTTTAGAGCCCTGACTAAGACACTGCCCAAGCGGCAGCTCAAATGGTGGACTCACAGCTGAGATATTTGCCTCCAAACTGGACCCCGCAATCGTATTCGCATGGATTCATGGCGCGACACGCGTGGGTCCTGATGTGTCGCGCCATGAATCCATGCGAATGCAATCGCGGGGTCCAGTTTGGAGGCGAATATTTCAACTGTGAATCCAGCACTTGAGCTGCCGCTTGGGCAGTGTCTTAGTTAGAGCCCCAAATTACTTAATAGGAATATTTATACATCAGAACCCCGTATGTCCAGATTTGCCTGGACGCTGCCTTCAAACACCAGCTCCCAGATTAATCATCCTCGCGCAGAAAAAAGTCTGATGCATACATTTTGTTATTTGCCAAACTAATAAATGTAACCTATCCGCCTCAATTGAAAACCTCAGCTGTTTTGTTTTCCTATTAAGATGTCCGACTACATCTTCCTCCATACACACTACCAGAAAAAAAAACTAGTTCATGAATCCACTTTGTAATGCCAAACTATGTCTGTACAACTTTGGCACAGTTCGTTACTGGCTGTATACTTCATAAAGAACAATGGAAATCGTAATCTCACTAAGTGAGCTCGTCGGCCATTCAAACCTTCCCTTTTTCTTGCGCAACATTACACGATTGACATTCGAAACGATGCAATATTTTGGCGAAACGATATTGAACAACTGTTTGGTTGCACATTTACATTTATGTGCCGGGTCATTTACAGCAGAAGCAGAACGGTGATTTACTTGTTATGACTTCGAACAACTGATACAACAAACTCTTGCTATTGGATCAGTATCGATGTCAAGAGGGGTAGGACAAAAAAAGACAGGTGTGGAAAGAGGTTAAAGGCGCCGTCCACCCAAATTGAGGTTGGTGAGATTATGATACTTAGCAGATTCGGGGATTCCAACTGTGTGATTGCCCAACTCGCGCTGCCTGAAGTTGCTTCCGAAATGAGAAAATTGCTTCGGAAATTGCTTCAGGCCGCGTTCGCGACGCTGGCTCCTCCCCTTTCGGAGTGGGCGTGACGTTCGTCCCGCCCATCCGTAAGCGTCCAACCAATCACATACCGAAGAAGTCGCTCTGCGGGTTCTGAAAACGGGGGTTTTTCGTGGTTTTCGCGGATTTTCAACTTGATATTCGAAATCAGGGGTATGAGAAGGCCCTCGAACGGCAAAAACATGGGGGTCGAAATTTTGGGTGGACGGTGCCTTTAAGAGGTGCTATTCCCACCTATCAAGACTTTCCTCGAGTATCTTCATGAATCTGTATGAATGTTCGTACAACCCTGTGAGAAACTCACTCGTTCTACATCAGATACGCAAACTATTCTAGAAGCTGATTATAAGATGTACTTTTCTGAATAACGGTAAACTTGAAAAGTCCTTGCATCAAAGTGCTCTGCAGTGTAATAACGACAGCTTTCACATATCCAAAAATTGTTAGGGCATCAGGAAGAGCTTTGCTCTCCCTGATGCCCTAACAATTTTTGGATTGCGCAGTCGAGTTTTTTAGTGACTTGCTGAAAAGAAGGATTTAGCGTGCAATTTACTCGGGTGGAGGACTACATGTTGCCCAAAGGGGAACGTTATTATACCGCGAATGTCCGCGACAAAGCACGCAGGTCCACACATAACAGGCATACGCATCTTACCAGCTGCCAGGGCGGAGTGAAGCCTAGACGTGAAATCCCCTACCCTAGCCTACTCAGGACATACCCCACAAATACTGCCCAGCTTTTAAATAAAGTCTCTGGGCGTGATCGACACGATATCAAGCGGATCAATCATTGGTAAATTTTTTCTGATCGAAGAGACTGTGTTGTGTACTCAATGATTTGCAACGCATGAAACGGCATTAGTGCAGACTAGTTGCTGCATTTCCATGAAGAAGCAGATAACAGGCAAACAGAAGAGAGATTACTTCGTACTTCTTCTGAAGCTGGAAAATCGCTTCTGAAGTAGCGACATAACCGCCTCTTGATTCAGTCTCGTCAACAACTAAAACAGGGGAAAACATGGCAAACACGCTGCTGCGGCCAATGGCAGCATCACCATGGCCTGTCATGATTTCGTGCTCGGTAGGGACCAGAGTGAATCCAGGAGCCGCTGTGTCGGAGCTTTTGATGCGATTTCTTTCTTTCGAAAGCGAATTTTGCAGCCGCAGTCGGGCTATGGCTTGAAAGGGGACCCGGCTAAGTAATCTGTTGAGGTGAAGGTGCTGCCCAAATCTGCCCGAAACTGCCTTTGACAAAGAGTAAGTAAAAGAATGGCATACGTGGGGAGACGACATCACGAATTCTTATCGTGGTCGGTCTCGTGACAATGTCGTATTATTCTTATAACAAAAGCTACACCGTCCTTTTTGCTGTCAATTCCTCGAGTCTTTCTGAATGCTCCGACAGTTGATATAACTTTTTTCTAATGATATTTGCGGAGGCTACATACACAGCCATGAATTCCAACTCAACATCAAGAATGCTGTACTCTTCTTGATGATGACTGATGGCAAAAATCACCATATTTTAGTAGTAGCGCTTATAGGGTTTAGTCTGAGTGCGGTTGGCGGGCTCGACGCGTTTTTGAACGTGTCTCCGAGCATCCCAAGCTCATCAGCCATTGATGCCTAAGGGCAGACTTCTCACGCTTCAAACGTGGGTAAACCGTATCCGCTGAGGGCGAACGCGGCGAGAGGCCCAAGCGAGGTAGCTCGCGAGCGCCGAGCCCCTCCGACCGTAACGCTCAGATTGAAAACCCCTATACAGCAACCAAACGTTTCGATATCTTCTGATATTGACCTCAGATCGATAATAATAGAAAAGAGTCCGACAATTATAGAAGAATGGTCGCCAGGATCAATCGCTCACGTCGTGCGATCCTGTACATCCTATCGGCGAGAAATCTCACAAGTTTCGTATTCGATTCATATCGATTCTTCCTTCCTTCCACACCCCCCCCCCCCCTCCCCGGTCCCACTGCCGGAAATCGTGGTCACTCATTTCCAGAGATTGCCATACAGCGTGAAATGTTAGTCAACAAACGTGTCTCTCAACCCCGAACATAGCTCATGCGATTCTCGTCTCCGCGTGATTCGTATAAACGACAATTGTTCAGATCAATCGTGAGCGCACTTTGAATGTAAACGATCTGACGGTTCACATCAACTCGTGAACCCGTCATATCGTCAGCCCATCATATGCCACCCATGCCCCGGATTCGTCAATGTCTGGCAATCACCGAATCACTTGTTATCGCGATTTGTTGGGATCACATGAATTATGAATGGACCACTTCAAGGAAAGTAGCGACAGCAGCTACAAACTGTCCCAATTGGGATCAGGCCGAATCGTTCGCTGAATTTGCGCGCACGCAGCGCCGTACATTGCGCTGCATATGCGCACTGCAGTAAAGAAGGAGGATATCGAAGAGAGAACAGGCAAGCAGGCCCTAGGCGCGACGCGAACTCCCGCCATGCCAGTTTTGGCCTAATTCGGATTGGGTCAGACTGTATGAGCTCAATGCCTTGTTCCTTTTGTCGGACAGCAGGTGCTATTAGTGATATCATGATGTCCTGCGAATAAAGGAACTAATTTCTTGATGGGTTGTACTAGTACAGATCGCTTTTGTACAAATTGTGATGTCGTAACATTTTAGCAACGCCGTGCGTGCTGCGCAAGCTACGACCGGTCCTTGCGGACGACTCGATAATACCACTCAACAGTTCTACCAAAAATTACAATTTGCTTGTTATCTTGGCCCGACCGACTTACTACGCAAAAAAGAACTAGAAAAACAACAAAGAATATGCTGCGAAGTTGGGGTGCAACGTCTCAACGACAAGCAAGCAACATAAGAAATTGATTCGAAAAGTTAAGAAATTTACCACAACTCTGATAGACTTGTAGAAGAGAAGGTTATATAGTTAAATTCGGGAAAAGAACAATCTATTATAGACCTCCACTCTATTTCGTAATATACAGAAGATTATACAACTGTACGCACCCTATTTAGTCAAGTGCACTTGCGTATATGTATGCACATGCTCCTAAACGTCCCCACCTCATACTCCTAAATTCCCGAATTTCGCGTGATCTCATACTATTTCAGGCATATTGGGTCAAATTTCATTATTTTCTGCCTCTGAGCACCATACAAAAGACTCCTTGCAAGAATCAATTGAGAGGAACAAAATATAAGAAATATGAACTCAAACTACTAATTTTAAAAGGAACATTTGATGTCGATTATAGCTCAAGGTCATACTCGAACAGCAGCCAAAACGCCTTACCTTTGATCCAGTCGACTACGCAAGACAGCGCAGAGTCCACAAGAGCCACGTTTGCAAGAGGATCTAGTCGTTCTACTACCTTCAACATTTCACCAAATGCGTACTCTCTGGAAAAAGGAAACACTAAAACATGACGTATGGAAGGTATATTGAACTAACTTTTCGCATGGATCTTGCGATCGGGTGGCTTGAATAATTTGTGGTAAATTCGCAGCATCTCTCGGTGCTTCTATCCAGTCTGCCAAACCACTCAAGTGAAATCGGCGCCCAGCACCTGTTCCTAAAACAAGATCGGTAGAATTTTATCCTGTAGGCAACTCCACATTTCTCTAAACAACTTCTGTGATAGTCTGAATAACTTCCGTTTTCTTCCCCATTCAGAAGTGTACTTTTGTAAGAAAAGATCGCCAACTTTACGATGCCTGATAAGCTGTTGCCGCACTAACAACAGGATGAACGAGCGGGACAATGCTGCACATGAAGATCACGTGATGAACTTTGCACCAAAAGCGCATGTTTGATCGCTTGACGATAACTCCTCGTGAATCCACAGGAAATGATACTATAGTGCTTCGGTTCACTACCACATGATTAACATAACGAATGTTAGTTATGTGTTAATCAGTAGAGACGGCAACCTCAACAACTCTCCTTAGCTTCGATTATCTAAATTCTCCCCAAGATATGTTTTGTTTAAAACTTCGAGATCGCTCTCCACGAGATAATTCGACTGACAAATCTGACCTACGTTTGACTCAGCCAAGTGAATTGAAGCAAGGTTCTTGTTACTAGTTACGCTAGCATGCCCTTTATGCTTTAAAACACAAAAGAAAACGCAAAAGACCCCAAGCACATGTAAATATTTGAGCATACGCCAAAGATGTGTCCGATCAGATAATAGCTGCTTATACATTCGCTGTGTAACCAAATGCGATTATTGACTTCTCAGTGCTACGCAGGATCTGAGTGAGACCTTGCTACGTGCTGTCATTATCACTGTGAGCAAGAAATCTTATCAAAGTCTTCAGGCGCGGCAAAAACAATAAAACTGACGCTGAAGTAGTAGTCGTGACAGGAGTAGTGTCAAGCAAAATGACAAACCAACGTATGCAGAACGTCAATCGTCTTGACGAAGTTCGTCCGCAAACAATATACCGGGCATTCGCTTATAACTTACGATTCAAAAACGCCTTTACCGTCGAAATTAATTAGAAGGTAAAAATCCTGGTGTTATGTTATCATGGAAGTACCGGAAGTACACACTTGAGTTCAGAAATAAGGAAAAAACAACAAATTTTATGGCATTAATGCCCAGCAGAACTCATCAGAAATAGATTGCGCAATATATCCAAGAAAACTGTTGAACTATCGCGGAAAAGCCATCCTATCACAGAATTCCAAGAAAAATGGAGGCAGTAAAGATAAGAACAGACTGAGCACAAATTCTACTTCAGGATACAGATGACATCATTTTAGAAAGACAAGGAATTTGAGAAAACGTTGCCATGTACGAAAGCTGGGAACTTTCCCGCTTGCAGCCCCAAAAGACGGATGCAGATGAGTGCAGAAGCATACTTCCTTAGCTATGATACAACGAACTGGTGTGTTCTTTTTCCTACTGTACATAAATAACAAGCATGCGCTTGATGTCTCCTACGAGATAAATGGATGTTGAGCTATTGATGTGTACATATAAATGTTGGGACATGTGATGACTGTTTGAAATAAACAAAGGCTTGGATGCTTATGAAAGAATCTAAATCAAATACTCATGTGATGAGTATGTCATTATATGTAAATGTCGTGATTATACTGCTCAAAAAGCTTTGCAGCACCATTTCACTCGCTTCACTGGTGATAGCATGAGTAAAATGCATAACGAAGCTAGGCAAGATATGAGTCAATGAACACACATAAGTCATTCAATGACAAATATATTTTCTTGACAAATCAATTCGACGGAATACTATTCCAGTTCAACGCAAATCTTCCCCAACCCAAAGTTTACAATGTCAGCTGAAGACTTGTGCTCGACCACCACGGATCTATTTTCGACTAAACATTTCTTCGCTTGCTTGAAAAACCACAATTGCATGCATGAGACATCTTGCATAGCGCACGTTATAAATAGGATTTTTGTTGAGGTGATGAGTATATGCGACACCACGTAGGAAAACAAAGATTGCTAACAATATTTCTGCACAAATTCATCTACCTTTCACACTCCTGCAAACCTTCTACTTAATCAGTAATAAGGAGCTAAAGATGCATTCAGTGTCTTTTGATGTGATTTACATCGGATTCAAAGGCAGCTACAGCCGGACTTTACAGCAATCATGGTAACCCAAGAAATTTTGTTATCAGAACCAATTCGACCCATAGATGCGACCTAACTTTTGAGAAAGATAAGAAAGTTATATAAAATAAAAATTTTTTAAACAAAAAAATCGCATTAGAACAGAGACTTACCAAATTCTTTCATATCGTTGACATCATCTTCCAACGCAAGGCGGTAATCATAGCCTGAAAGACATCAATTTACATAATGACAGGAACCGTAGACATCTAAACTTACTCGATCTGCCGGATAGCATGCTTTGTGCAGAAGATGCTATAGCCCTGAAGATGTTACGATTCGTCTTGGTGTTGTCCGATATAAGACCGAGTGCGTCACTATCCAGACTGGATTCCGATTTTCGAGTAATTTTGAAAACACGCGAAACTCTGGAATAGAACTGAGGATTGTTGATAGAGAAGCAACTGAGAATTCGACAGAAAAGCTCGTGAGAAAAAGCAAGAGCTTTGAGATAGGAATTGTATAGGGATAGTACCAATATGAGCCAGCTTTCTGATACCCGTCAATATGATCATGTTTCAGAAAATGATGGCTTTGCTCAAAAGAGAGAAATCTTGAGCAAAAAACTATGTCCCAAACATGTTTTTCGCTTGCGAGATTTCAGCGACGCAGCTGCAACACTCAAGGAAAACACGATTTTGATCACAATCAAACCTCATACGACTTTTTTTGTGAAGAACGTGACTGGATTTCGCTGCCTAAAGTTGTGTAAACAGCCTAAGACTCGACTTTCAACTAAAGCTGAAACTTACAATGTTGCTCAAACACGTCAGAGTCCACAAACCATGGCACTGCAGTAAGCTTAGGTAAAGAAAAAAGCCATACAGAATTGAATCTAAGCATAACAGAGAGTGCAATAGTGGTATGGGCATTCGGAAATATGGTTCGATTGTACTTTGTAAGAGAAAAAAACGTCTGATATAACCAGAATGCACTTAGCCTTATCAGCAGAAAAATGTCGGACAGAGATAAAAGTTCAGAAATAAAGAGTGTAAAAACGCCTCACTTGCTCCACACAGTCGCCAGAGCTATAGTGTATGTAACGAACACGAGTAATATCAATTGTTGTAGGCGAAGCAGGATCATGCGGTTACTTGCCACCGCATAACACTGGTCAAAACTACTAAATGAAGCCACCTTTCCGCCTTTTCGAGAAATTTCGAAAATTCGAATGAAGTGCCCGCTCACTTGTTTATACAAGTTTGCCGCTGCCGAAAATCAGACAGCAACACCTATCGAGACGGACATGACGACGCGGAAGCGATTTGAGCGGCGACAACCACGAGCACCGGCCACCACCGGGAGCGCGTCAGCTGCGTGACTTGCACGCTAAATGCGCCAGCACCGGCAAGCTTGCGCGCGTCTTACAGGCTCTTTGTTCCAGCTTCCAAGAACTAGTACATGCTTTTGTGAAGTTGAAGTACCGAGTTCTGAAAAGTATGCTACACGCCATACCCAGCATTGTTCAAAAAGAGCAAATTATCCTTTTGAGATAGCTAGAAATACTTCTGAACTCAATGCCTGCCGAAAACGTCTGGTTTTTGTGGCATGGGGTCTCTACTTAGCTTACAACGATGCTTTGAGGTACAATAAGCTCTCGTATACTGTTTTACCGGAACCCTAAATACTCGTAGCGAGCGTTTTTCATTCAACTCTCACCCTACTCTAGGGTCAGCTCATTTTCCTTGAAATCTCGGTTCCTTTCAAAGAGCCCCTAAGACCTCGAAGTAATGGGTAAACACAAAATAGACTGCAATACTTATGTATACGAATATTATCCCTTAGTACTTTCATGGGGCAAACACCTAGCAGTACTCTGCGTTGATACCACTGCTTATCTCTCTCTTTTTTTTCTTTTTTCTTCTTTTCTTTCTTTCTTTTTTTTCTTGAATGTGAAGGGCCATACAAAGGACGACTTACGTCTATTTAGGTCTCTGAAGTACAAATACGTTCATTTACTTCTATCAGATGCATCTAACATCAGTTGTGTGCGAAATAAGATGAAAACCTTCTTTGCCCTCTCAAAGTAAAGAGCAATTATCTGCATTTCTTTGAGTACTAATTCTAGATTTTCAACAATGTTCAGCAGCGCACTCACAGTCTCTCTCAATTGTAGTGTCCCTTTTGCGTGCGGCTAAGCGACCGCAGCGCGAGAGCCCTGTGTGCTGTCCGATCGCGAGGCGAGGCTTCGAGCTAGACTTTTTACGACGAATAGGACATTCACACCAAAGGCTGCTGCATGACGAAGCGCAGAAGCAGCATTGGCTGAGCGGGCGCGAACGCGACGCGCGCATATCCTCACCGTTGCAAATCCTGCGCCTCATACGCTCTGCGGCTAAGGCTTGATACATACCTGACGATGAGTGGCTATAGCTGACGATGCGTCGCTGCTAGCACGCTTTTTATGCGTATCGATTGCAGCCAAGCGACGCTGCTGCTCCTAGCTGCTGCAGCCATCGCGAAACAGACCCGCTATAGCTAATGATACTGCGCTGCTTCTAGCTGCTCCCTGCTGCTCCCAGCTGCTCGTTGCTGCTCCTCGCTGCTACGCGATGTGAGGCTCACTTTTTGTGAGCTTTCTCAGCTGCTCCATGCTGCTATCAGCTGATTTCGCTCGGATTTGCTTCTATTTACCATTTTTTTGTTTTTCAAAGAATTTCCAGAGCATTTGTTGCGATAAGTGAAGTATGACATTTTGCGAGACTATTGAAAGGACAAATGCATAGGTGAACAAATCAAGATAAACTCTACAAGACCTTTGGAATAAAAATAGATTATGAATAGAGTACGATGAACAGCTAGAGGCAGATATTTATCAAGGAAGAAAGTGTGATGTCGCTAGCCCACTTATGCAATACGGCAGGGAATAGACCTAGTTTAATTGTTGCCTCAAGCACACGTAAGGGTCATGTGTGACATTCAAATACATCTGTCAAACTGTCTCAATTTCTTTAAATGCAGCATTTGTGTGCGTTCTTATTACAAACAAAACTTTATAGTGATAGTAGTGTGCTATATTTCATAATTTATGGATTCCAGCGATGAGATTCATGAATTCATTTCTCCTTAATCTAGATCAGCTGGGAGGGCTGGTAATACTTTGCTGCTGCACCTAAAATGCACCCATGCGCAGCAGCTTCAAGCAGCTAGAAGCAGCGGAGACAGCAGCGATTCGCCAATACCCGCTATACCTCCATCGTCAGATATGTATGAAGCCTAATAAAGCCGCGTTCGCGCCCAAAGATATTGCGCCTTCGTCATGCAGCAGCCTATATATCTGCGACATTTTGACTAACACTGGCTGCGCGTCGGCGTGTTTTCACCCTACGCAGGAAAAATATCAATCAATAATTTTAGAATATATAATAATTTTGCTGGAATAACGTAAAATCAAAGTATGTTTTTACAAGCACTGCATGCGGCTCTGATGCCTCTCTGTCTCAAAAAAGAAAGTGTCGAAGCTGTTTTGAGAACAGTCAAGCGATTAGCATCGGTTCCGTGCTGCCTCTTATTCTATTGTTTGCCCAACAACTATGCAAATACAGTTTCACTACTGTTAGTCGATTCAATCCCTTTTTGACAGATTCACAAGTTGATTGTTTGGTTCTTTACCGTGAACAAAAATGCCTCAATATCGTGGCAGAAAAATGTTGAAACTTTCGTCTTGGCTAACAACCGTTACGAGCTCTGTATGGATGAGCATAAGTGATGCCCTTCATTGTTTATTTAGGGAAGATCACTCAGATTCTGTAGTTTTGACCAAGCTCACCAAAATCAGAAAAACACTACAAGAAAAGAAATACCGATACAAACACGAAATGGGCTCTATAATCTACTCTTTCTAGCTGAGCAAAATTTGTGCTGATCGAATGTCTTTGTGATAAATTAAGAATTTGAAATGCCCTAAGTTTCTTGCGAAATCAGATCTGCCTTCGATTAGCTGGGAATTTGCAGCTAAAAGGGGAGGTCGATTGACTTATTTTTATGACTGTTTTTCCGCTGTGACTTTTTTCTGAGCGTGCTCAAAAAATGCCATTTTTGAGCGATTCTCTTCATTTGCTTCTGACTTCAGCATTTAATCGTAAAAATTCACTACAAAAGTGCAGTAATACGCAAAATTCCCTCTTTCAAACAAGAACACTTTTAGAATTCTTTACTGGATGTGCTCAAAAATTCCAGTCTTGAGTAGGTTCAAACAAAAATAGTTTGGAAATTAGGTAGATGCAAAGAAGTTGAAATTGATTTTTGAAATGTTTGATATTTAATTTTTAGGAATGTTTGAAAAAAATGCAAGGAAAATTCAGGACAAATCTAATGGGTTGCAATGGTAGAAATTTTTAGTGATTCTTTAGGCAAATTTTAGTTCCACAACATCTCTGTGTGGGTCGAAATTTGAAATCATTATGAAGGGTACTCGATGTGGATGATTTTTTTCCATTACGAGAGCTCGTTCAGACTATACAGCCTATGCCAACCACGTAGGTGCCATCGGCTCCCCAATTGCCGCGAGGGCGGACTCGGGCGAGCGTATCAGCGATGCGGTTGTCCAGTGTTGAAACTCATAGCTCATAAACTGATTATCGGTTGACCATCGCGACCGCCCTCGCAGCAATCGGGGAGACAATGGTACTCCATTTGCATCGGCGCAACCGCCATGCCTGAGCTTTGCGTCGCGTTTGTGAGCGTATGCGTGCACATCCAAGTTGGCATCATCGATTAGAGCGTCCGCGTAACGCCCTGATGCATAGTTTGTACGCAAAAGGGAGCACGTAATTGACACAGATCGTAAAGCTAAATGAGCTTTATTCCCTTGCCAAACATCGTTGTAATCGAATTTGGGTTTGATTAAATTGATCTTTCGAAATCTGATTTCTGAATAGAAAGTTCTAGAATGTCGAAGTAAGTGATTGAATCTGCCTTTGCTTTTCATAAGATACAAAAACATACGAAATATACGTATATATCAATAGAAATCTGGGGTGTACAGAGAGAGGGGTAACGTGATGCCGGTAGACTCTGGTGTAATTTCGGGATGCTGTTAAGAGTCCCATTCATCACCTCAACTGCAAAACAAATTATTCGCTAATAGGCACTGGAGGCATTCACATTCATCATGCTCTAATATTTTATTTCTACACTTCCCTACATCTCACTGCCACAATTAAATTATTTTGAATTCCTTGTTAATCGCTAATGGCTCCAGATAATGTTGTGAGAAAAACTCAGATTCTTTTATTATAAAACGGCTATCATTGCCTCTCAAAATCACTGAAGATTCATTTATCTCGGAGTAGATATTCAAAGGAACTTCGAGCAAATGCTCGAGAACTTTCCCCACACCGAACAAATTTACTCATGAAACGTCAGTATAAGTTTTTACGCAGAAATTAAGTGCAGAGTATGTTTTTTATTTCAGGTGGAACACCGTTTAGTGAAGTTGGCGAGAAAATCATCGTAATCACGGCTATATCACATGTAACACATATAGAATCAAAGCCTTAGAGCAATTCATACTATTCTTGAACGCTGTGCAAAAAAGGGGAGGGGGAAGAAAGTTTTGCAAATAAGGTAACGGCCAGTTATGATCTCGAGAGAATCTCACGATGCTTTCAAACTTCTTGGTGGACCTATAACCCCGAAATCGGCGCTGTGGCAACAATCCCCTCAAATTTGTACAAAGCTAGTCTGAATTTGCCTTTAGGATTATTTCAATCATTTACAAACAAAAACACGTCGCGATTTTGTAACTCATGCAGGTAAGTCTCCAAAAATTCCGTAATAGAATGACCATAGTGCTCATATATTCAGTTTCCGTGCTTTTGGCCATCAGCGCACGCGTAAATGTTGTTGGTGCTGCAGGAGCACTACATGTATCGTCAAATCTAGAGGTTAGTCGCGGAGGAAGGCGGATGATTCATGGTCGCGAAGCGGATGTGAACGCAGCGATCGAGCACTCATCATTGCTGGAGCTTATATCGGAAACACTATACAGGAAGATGAGCGCTCGCGTCGCGTTCGCGTGCCTTACCTCAAATGGGCATCCGCCTTCTCCGGGACTAGCCCTTAGCCTACTCATGGGTCTCACATTATCATTCAAAAAGTTGTTCTCGTAGTAAAACTAGACTGGCAAATTTGAAAGTGGAGCATAAGTTCAAACAAAAATGATAAATGATATCTGACGTGATTTTGAGCAACTAGAGGCAATTCATCGCACGCAGGGACTGGACGCCGTTGCGTCCGATTAGGTTAGTTCGTACTTGAGAGAAGCAGCATACGGCTAGGCGAATGAAAAGACGTTTTATTTGAGAGACGCTCACAGTGTCCGCAACGGCGTCCTGCCTCTGCGTGCCGCAAACCATCTATAAGTTTTTCGAACTTTCAATTATTTATTCTAGGGAAGAACTGATAATACAAGATAACAAATAGAGCAATGAACTATGACAGTTTTGAGATGAGCAATGCGCTTGATAACGAACGTATGGTGTAACACGAAATGTTTTTGTTTTCGTGAAAACGAGGAACCTAAGGTGAAGTGCAACTCAATCACTCTTTGTATTCAGACATGAATGAATGTTCTGATAGTTCCCTGTCCCAACCACCTGTTCTTTCTTCGACAGCGAAAGATTACACTTACTAGGGTTCATGCGCCCTCTCTGTTGGAGATCTTTCTGAACAAAAACATGCGAATTCCTTTATTGGAAAACAGCCCAGCATTCTCCAGAAAAAAAGGGAGTGAGATGAAATGGTTTGATAGTTTTTTTTGGCCTAAAAGATTGCGTAGGAATAATCGTGTAGCGTTAGCGGTGAATAAATTGTTCCACAGTTTGTGCACGAAAGTTCTCTTACCAGTTTATTTTTTGAGTTCCACAGTAAATTCGAATTAGTCTTAGATGTTAGTGACTGTTACCGGAGTTTGTTCGTGCCACTGAGGGAACGAAATAAAATGTGCGAACTTTTTTCGCCGCTCGAATCAT